TGCCTCTCTCTCTGACCCTCCCCCCTCTCATGCTCTCTATCTCATTCTCTCTCTCAAATAAATAAATAAAATCTTTAAAAAAAAAAAAAAAGAAGTGGGAAAGAGGAATTGTCATTGTATAAATTTTGAACTATACTATTTTCCTATAATGTGCATATTTCAATATGACAATCTAAATAAAATAATAAAATGAGGAAATACTCTATGACTCTATGGCAACAGTAGTAACTTTGGATACTTTAGCTACCAACCCTTCAATCACAGTCAGGTTTGGGTTTGATATCCCTAAAAAGCCTTCTTTAAGTGATAGACACAAATAAGAACAGAAAGGTTCAGGGAAATGGATCATACAGAGCTATATGAATTACATATAACAAGTTGACTTACTTTGAAATATAGCTTTAAATATCTGATACTCATCAACAGGGTTATCTTCATCATCAATGATTGTGGAATAGCCTTCCAGAGCAGTCTCCTCAGCATCATCCTCTTCCCAATCTTCATCATCTCCATCCTCACCTGCTTGCTTAGCCAAAATCTCCAAATATTCTTGCCCATCTTCATCAATATCATCTTCATCACTCCCCAGTTCCTCTGCAAGCCATAAATAGGTGCATTTGTTAACACCGAAGTATTCTCTTACTCAACAAACTGACAGTGATCACAGTCAGTAAATTACAAATCACAACTGAATAAATTCAAGTTCCAGGAACTGGTGTTTAAATACAATATTCAGCGGGGCACTTGGTTGGTGCAGTTAGCTAAGCGTCTGACTCTTGGTTTCGGCTCAGGTCGTGATCTCAGGATCATGAGATCAAGATCTAAGCTGGGCTCTGTGCTCAGCGCAGAGTCTGCTTGAGATTCTTTCTGCCCCTTCCTCTGCCCCTCCCACTCCTGCTCTCTCTCTAATAAATATTTAAATAAATAAATACAATATTAAGCAATAAATAGAGTAAAAAATTCTCATAGAAATCCAAGAAAGCCAACCACAAGTCCTAATACCAGAGGTTTGAACATAATATGAGATTCAGCACTTGTGCTCTGGGCCTTATGGGATATACCAAACCAAACACCAACAGTAAAATAATATAGTTTATGTTATATCATTTTCTGTATTTTTTTTAAGGCTAAGTTGGTGAATCATAAAAAAAATGGCAATACCTATCTTATTCTGAAACCATTACAATAATTTCTCTTAACCAACATTCTATCAATTTATACTCTTGTAGTCTATAGTGTCCTACAGGTGAAATGTATTAGCCAATAGCTGATCAAATTATTTTTATAGTGCAGGTATACTTAGGTTTTAGCACTAACAGATGATAGATGTTTGCCAACAGCAAAAACCATAAATGCCTAGAACTGCTTTATATGTCGGGAGATCTAGCCAAAGTTCCTGCCTTCGCAGACCTTACACTCTAGCAGGAAGTAAGGCAGTCTTTCTATGAATGAATTAACACAAAAGCATTTGGGTATGATTCCACATTTCTTCAGAAGGGTTAAAAAAACAAGTCCAGAGGCACCTGGGTGGCTCAGTCATTAAGCATCTGCCTTCGGCTCAGGTCATGATCCCATAGTCCTGGGATCGAGCCCCGCATCGGGCTCCCTGCTC